ACCATAGACTTTGCATGTAAACCTGCTGCTCCTGACGCTGAAATTGCGTTCGGTGTGAATGCACCATTACAGTGCTTTCTGCTTGAGCTATTTTAGCATTTAGCTTTTTTATGCTATTTTAACTATATTTTTGCTCCTTTTTTACTGTTTTTCTGTTTTATCTTTTGCTTCTTTCAGCTTTTAAAGTTTGACTTAGAATAATACTTTTGCTATTAACCATTCCCAGCTCAATTTCAGCAACTTTCAGCAACAGGCATTCACACTAGCATTTTCACAGGAAATGCAATTTCTCTAGTTTTAGTTAGTTTTAGTCAGTTTTGTATACAGTTTTAGTTATCATTTTTTCATTTTATTACAGTTTTTATTTCTTTCAGTTAACTAAAATGTCTTTTCTATCTCAGTTGTGGTTATTCAGTGAGTTTTAGTGACCTATAATAACCTCTTGTTTAAGGAGGCCATCATGGAGGTCAGCTCCTGAGTGCTGTTGGTTSTCCTGGTTCGGAGCAGCTGTAAAGCCTCACAGCCCTGCTGGATAAAACTCTGCACCTGGAAAAGAAAAATAAAGTTATTCTGAGAACAGAGCTGCTGCCAGACTCAGGTGTCTTCAGTCCAGGTGAGWTGATCACCTCAGCTTGTGAATGTGGGCGTCTCTGACCCACTGCAGCTGTGACCCTGAGGAGGGTCAGCTGGTACCAGAACTCTGCGCTCCCTCCCAGGCTTTGGGCTCGATCCAGCAGGTCCAGAGCCTCAGGAAAGTTCTGCTCTTCACAGGCCAGACGGGCCAGGAGCAGTAAAGCTCTGGATCGGGAGCTCTTCTCTCTGAGCTCCTGAACACATGATGGTAAAGAAGTGTTAGTGTTGCGTCATGTTTTTTAGATCCAGCTGTTTGTTTCCTCGGAGCTGACCGCAGACACCATGTGGGCCTCGGCCAGCAGCTGCCGAGCCGCCTGACGGAGGTCCAGGCTCAGGCAAACCTCCGCTTTGTCCAACCAGACGTCCAGAAACCTCCCGTCTCTGTTTGGTCTCAACAACAACGACTCTTCAGTGACATCAGCTTCCTGAAAACAGCAGGGAGGAGATTATTTAGAGTTTATTTCTTTATGAAACTGACAAAGAAGAAATAACAAGTATTGTTAAAATCTTGCAGACAAGAGATGAAAAGACTGGGCTGACATGGACATGATGTTTGTAAAACACATAATGAATTCTGTGACTGAACCGTTTACATACATCTGTAATTTATCACTTTCAACTGGTTTATTCCCAAACAACATGAAAACAGCAAAGGTAATTCCTCTTTTGAAAAATGATGAAAAACGTGTTTAACAACTACAGACCAGTATCCCTGTTACCA